CCGAGCCTGTCTGTGCCGCCGAGGTGCCTGGGGAAGGCGGGAGGCTCCTTTCGCTCCCGGCTCGGAGGAGGGGTGGGGGGCACCTTCCCGGTAGAGGGAAGCAATGGCAGGGGGAGCCCTGGCCCCCCTCAGCGCGGGCCGGAGCGGGAGGCGATGGCGGGCGGCGACCCGGGCAGCCGGGGGGACTGGTACCCGCGGTGCGTTCAGTCAGGAGGTCGGGGCGTGATTTATTTATTTATTTATTTTTAATATGAAAGAGGCTGAACTTCATAGCTGGAAACATTTAAAACACCCTGGAAAACAAGGCGTGGGCAGCGGTGGCTGAGGTAAATTGATGCGCCAAAGGTATTTCCTACCTCTGATTTCTTAGGTCCTGCTGGATTCATGGGCCCTTCTGTCCCAGTGCCACCCCTCACCTGTGTTCTTTAAGAAGAATTTGAACCAGGTTGCTCGGGAGTGACGTTTTGCACACGCATGGCTGAGATGTGGTATTTTTGTAAAAGATGATGTTACTGAAATAGATTTCAAAACTGGCTTTTCAACTGAAGTTACTGCTCTAGCATCTATGTGAAATCTTGGGAATAAATTTTAGATTAATTTGTGAAAGAAAGGCTGAAGCTTTTGTGATAATAAACTAAGCCTAGTTTCAAGAAAAATCCATTTGAGCCTTGGATCTCAGCATCAGTAGAAAGATGGTGCATGAGCTTTGCGCAAGGTAGAAGCCAGAGTCAAGTCACCATCTTTATGACCTGTATTTGGGTTTTCAGGTGTCTCAGTGTCCATGGGGCTGGGAGAATTCTCCAGTAATCTCCCGCTTCCTGCATGTTTTCACCATTGAGGACAACCGCTAAAGAGTGAGCTAAGCATCTGTTTAAACACAGACAACTCAGACTTCTAGCCCACAGAATATACTACAAATGTTGATCTAGTCCTAGGTGCATTTCTGCAGCTTGGTATTAGGTGCTTTAATCACTTAAAAGAGGTGAGATTTAATGATCTTCAGTGTTTCCCATTGGCTAGTGTTAGTTGGGTATAAACTCAATTCTTAGTACCTAATATAGGTCTATGAACCTGTTTTCTGGGTCTAAGGCAGGGTAAACTAAATGGAAACATCCTTTTATGGATATTGCCCTAATTTCTTGTAAGCTGAAGATCACAAATGCTGGAAGCTAAAGATAGGCTAAGTAACAAGAAGGTCTGGTGGAACAGGGTAGAATTTTTTATTTTGCAGTTGAGGCAAAATAACAATGGACTCATTTATGAATATTACATTGGTCCTTTTGTAATATCTATAGCAAAAATAATAAATAGTAATAAATTGCAACAGATATGCAAGCAATTAAATGCATGACCTGCATACTGGAAATAATAAAACCTTTCAAAATTTTGTACAGTTTCACAGTAATTTCACACTGCTAATGTACGAAGCCTCCTTTTACCTCTGTGTGTGTGTATATATATATATATATATACACTCCTGACAAGATAAATGCTTTACATTTCAGCCTTTTCTGAGTCATTTATCTATAACATGTTTCGCTTTTTAAAGCATTGTCTTAAAATTCTGAATTAGTCAACTTTTCCAAAACTTTAAATTCAGCCTTGAGTTCAGCCTCCAACTTTCCATTTGCAGCAAAAGAAAACTATATTTACTGATATTTCAAACCATTGCTGGGAAAGTTATAATGGAAACATTGTTATCTCTGTGCATAATTACGGAGAGGGAAATTTTGTTGAATATACATGTATACATGCATACACAAACAATTAGATGCACAACTTGAATGTTGCATTGTTTTTATGCTATACAGGCAGTCATGACATAACTCAAAATTTAGTGTAATTTAATAATGTGAATGTATAGAACCTAGTTTTTCTTGTCTATATATGTGTATACCCACAAGTGAAATTTTATCTGGCTATACAGTATTACATTATTGCTTGAATATGGCTTATGCTTTGCTTGCTAATCAGAACTGATGCATATATGCTTTACATAACTGGTACTTGCTCACTCCTCTCGATGGAAAGCACACTTCCATCAGTGGTTCAGTGCTGTCATGAAGTGGAAGGATTTAGCAGTCTGCATCTGGTGTGTTTGTGAAGGCTTTCACACATGATTTACAGCACTAGTAACAAGCAGCTATTTCATATTTTCATTCCCTGGCTTAACAGCATTCTTATCTGGAATGTGAAGTTTCTTAACAAAAATACTTTTCCTTTGATTAAACAGAAAAGAAGTTATCCCAAAGAGTGAGAGCTCAAAAAGCATCTCTTGTGAGTTGACAGTTTCCAGACTGTTCTCTCTAGTAGCTGTCAACTACTTTGCTGTGTAGCTCTAGCTGCAAGACTAAATTAGACACAGGTGCAGACTATAAAGAACAATGCATCATCTCTGCCTAGTTGTAGTCATTTCTCCTACACAAGAACAGAGAATACAGCTGAGATGAAATCCTGGCTTTGTCTAAAGTATGTAGGAAATCTCCCATTCAATACAGCGAGGCCTGAAATTTACCCAAATTTTCTGGCTGAACGAGAGTAATAGAAATCAGTCAGTCTTAATTTACTGTTAAATCTTTGTGTAGAGGGTAGGTCTAACATCAGAATCCTTTGAAACTATGTCCAGAAAAAGGCAAGAAAGGAAGTCTTAGACCATACAGTTCTGTAGTGGTGTGGGTTCCATCTGGTGATACTAACAGAGAAGGTCAAGCCACAGAGGCAGGCCTTGCTTACCTTTCATTCCTGAGATCAAGAAGTTACTTCTGTATCTTTTTTCAGCTAGGCAATATTAGTTTCCTCGGTTCAAAATTTATAGTTGTTTTTCCAAATTATCAGTAGCCACTGATGGATTGCTTTAGATACTAGATGTAGGGAGAGTCTGACTTGTTTTCTTCTACAGTGTATCAGTTTTGAACGAACGTAAGTACTGATTTCCATGGAGCCACTCTAATTCACTATAATGAGTCTTTGTAATAGCAGAAAGTGCTTCACTTGTATGGAATCCATTGGGAACAGTATCAATCAAATAAAAATGGAAATGCACAGCTGTTCCTTTGTTGACTTGAACCCTAAATTTGTTCCCTGTTTTAATCCAGGTTGATTTAAAAAATGGATCCACCAGCAGGATACCAAGGTTCTAATGTAAACTGTTTTATCTCCTGGTTCTTGCCAAACTGGCTTTCATTCATAATGGCTTTCTTTGCATCTAATGATTGTTAGAATATCCACCTTCTGTACTATTACAAAATAGGCAGGAGTTAAAGCTAGATTTTCTTCTACAAATGATGTTTATAACAGATTTTCCACCCCAGAAGAATGTATAGTTACTGCCTTTTTAGTTAAGGATTGAAAGGTTGTTGTTCTCTGTTTGTATGACAACTTCTTTCAAGGAATTAACATCCACTTCATCAGCTTGCTTAGTATCTGTTCAGACCCCTCTGTCTCTTTGTTATTCTATGTGGTTTGCACTGTTACACTGAACTAAAACAGCAAGCAAGGATAAAGTCATTATTGATTTTTGTAAGAAATAATGACATCGAGGTAAGGAGGTTCTTGCCATCTGATTGCTCACTGGAATGTTGACCTCACAGCCTCTAGCTATTTAGAAGTACATTTCTTGAAGATCATTATTGCAGTCATAAAACCCATATATATATATATATATATATATATATATATATATATATATATATATATTTAAAAGGAACACAGAAGGTAAGAACAAGTACTCTTCTGAGTGATACTGCACGTTCACATTTATATATGTGTTACAGTATAAATGCTCAGCAAGTATAAAGGCCATAAGTGATGGCATCTGTAATTTCTTATGCCAAACTCCATCTGTTTTCAGTAGTTTGTAATTCCACCATTCTTTAATAATTTGGGCAGAAATTTCTCATGCTGAATTTCTGCCTCAGGCTGAAATATTCTTTTGAAAATTTGAACAAAAATAGCTTAGCCACTTTTCAGAAAAGAAAAAAGGAGTGTTTTACTCAGGAGCAGTTATAACCCTTATGTGACTGGGAAGACTAGACAACTGAGCAGCCGTATCACATGAAGGAAATGCATACTACTTTACTTGGTGCTACTGGGAAGCTGAGGGGAGGGTAAGGGAGATTAAAACCTCCATCCTGCCTGATAAATCTGCATCTGATTTTACTCACATGAAAACAGTTCTTAAACTAGGAGCTTCACCATTCCTGAGATTTAGAACCAAGGCTAGAATTCTTCTAAGAGAGTCATCTTGGTTTTAGAAAGATGCTTTATGATGACTCTAATGTTTTGCTAAATCACAAGCTTCTGAAAACTGGGGAAATATATTATAATTTAGCAGCTAACTCATCATGTTCTGTTTGTATGAAGTGTGACCTAGAATAAGACTGCATCAGTTGAGCTGGACTTCCCCCTCTTATTTCTCCTTCAAGGCCTGAGAGCACTACAGACAGACGCTCTCTGATGTGCTTTCAGTGCTCCTCCTTTTCCCAGGCTGAGGAAGCAGAGGGATGAGGAACCAAGCCTGAAGGGACAGTTAGAAAATGGTGAATTAAGCACAAGGAACCCGAAAGGGAAGTGGTGGGGGAGGGTGAAGCTGCTATATGGATGTAGGCTGAGAGTAAAAAGCTACATGAACTAAAGTAATGAAGGCTGAGGTTAAGATGGGCTGAAAGCACCATGACCACTATGTTTTGCAAGTCCTGGATACCACTGGAACCCCCAGTATTCTGCTGCTGACAGAAATAGTTGTGAAACCTGCTGAAAATATACTGACCTGGTTCACTCATGCTGTTAGTCTGAGTGGTAGGGGGATCTCTGCTGTCCTGCTGATGCAAATAATTGGACTCTGGGGCAGGAGGGTTGTTTCTAGTTGATTTCTGTAATTGTTATTTATTTTAACTCTGGAAAACTAAAAAAATGTTCCAGTAAACTAATATAGCAGTTTAGTGAGTTCAGAACTGCATGAAGTCAAATGTTCAGGAATTAAATGCAAAAATGGTATTGTTAGGTTATTGAAATCGGACTGCTGTTGATATGAAAATTTTCACACAGAATTAGTGAGATGACCAGAAAGCATGTTTTCATTGGCTTCACAGATATTCATAGCCTGATAAAGCCTAGCATGCATTAACAATGTGTATGTTATCCATTAACAATGGGGTTAGGGAATATGTAGCATAGCGTTGACACTAGAAAAGACAGTGACCCCTTCAAGAAGAGAGAGACAAAAAATCCACACATTGAGATCCTGTCCCTCCTATTGAAGAGGACAGCACCTGGGCAGTGACTACTTCAATTTGAGGAACTCAGTAGTGTGTGTTTTAGAATCATAGAATCATTTAGGTTGGAAAAGACCTTTAAGATCATCAAGTCCAACCGTTAACCTAACACTGCCAAGTCTACCACTGAACCATGTCCCTAAGTGCCACACCTGCACGTCTTTTAAATACCTCCAGGGATGGGGACTCCACCGTGTCCCTGGCAAGACTGTTCCAATGCTTAATAACCCTTTTGGTGAAGACATTTTTCCTGATACCCAGTCTAAACCTCCCCTGGTGCAACTTGAGGCCATTTGCTCTTGTCCTATCACTTGTTACTTGGAAGAAGTAGACATCCACCTCTCTGCAACCTCCCTTCAAGGAGCTGTAGAGATGGATGAGTTCTCCCCTCAGCTTCCTCTTCCCCAGGCTAAACGACTCCAGTTTCCTCAGCTGCTCCTTGTAAGACCTGAGCTCTAGACCCTTCACCAGCTTCATTTCCCTTCTTTGGACACGCTCAAGTGTGTCTTCTTGTAATGAGGGGTCCAAAACTGAACACAGTATTCAAGGTGTGGCCTCACCAGTGTCGAGCACAGGGGGACATTCATTTCCCTAGTCCTGGTGGCCACACTGTTTTCTGATGCAAACTGATTGCCAGTGTAGGGTATCAGCTCATTTGATTTAGCTGTACTTGCATCAAACATATGCTCATTAGCAAAGATTTCTGGTGTCCTTCATGACTGTCATGATTTTCTAAGACAACTCTTGTATGCTCTTAACTCATCCCTACACTGATGTAAAGTATCTGCTAAATAAACTTCACTGGTTTGCATTCAGTGTTTTACTTTATAACTGGGGTGGGCTACAACTGTACACAAAGCTGGTGTGTAGAGTGGGTGGGTAGTATCCGGTGTGGTAGTTCCATCCCAGTCCCATATGCCTGTATCCTAAAGCTTTTCCAGACTCAGCCCACGACTCAAAGGCAGCCACAAAATATTAGTAGAGCAGTTACATTAAGAGCTAAGCAAAACATCTGATCAAAGAGTACCTGAAATCTTTATCTGTTTTCATGTTGAATGGTAGGTTTCATTCTTCTTAAATTATAAACACCTTGACTTTTTCTTATGTGTTGATGGATGGCTGGATGGATGGGTGGGTGGATGGGTGGATGGATGGATGTCTACAGAATATTGCCCAGAATAATCTCTGAACGGTCACTGGCAGCATGTGCTGATGACACATCATCATCAGTACAATGCCCAAGTTCCTGAAGACAGTATTAATTTTATCCCCTATAATTCACTGTTGTCCCTGTTAAGCACAGGTTAATTCCATATATGACAAAGGTTATTTAAATTTCAGTAAACTGTGAGGCAATCTCACAAGTTCATGTTTGCCCTTAAGGAACAAAACTTTAGCTGAGGAACTTGTAACATTAGTTCAGTAAGGCCTGAGGCCATTTATGGGGCTTACACAATCCCAAAAGATGAAAATACTTACTGCCTCATTCCTGAACCTTTGAACTCTCTGTAGGCATTATTTTCACGAAAAATCGTCAACCTGCCTGACTGGCCATGGAATAGAGCTGTGGGTGACACATAGTGAAAGATTTAACCCAGAACGAAGGCCGAGGTGAGCACCCAACTGTTCCATTTAGACACTAATATCCTAAATCCTTGCTTAAGGGAGCTGCCAGTGAATCTCCTGCTGGCCTATGTTCTGGGTCCATCTAACAGAAAAATTCATAATCAGCAGCCTGACCCCTTGACCTTGTCAATGTAAATAAAATACACAGAATTGTGCCTTCTGTGCTGTCATCTGTGGGAAGAGGCGTTACGGCCTGCACGTCATGACTGTATTAGCATTGCATGAACACCAAATGAAAACCTTCACAGGCTATGCATGCACAAAAGTGCAGATTTAAAATAGCTCTAAATGATCTGGTCTGAGATTTGAAATCCCACACAGAGTTGCATTGATATAATCTCTTGTGTTTAATACAAATTAGAATGAATGAGATTATTTTTTCCGGGAATTTTAAACTGAAAACTGATTAAATCTGTATTTAAGAATGACCTAAAAAAATCTTTAAGAAATAAAAAAACCCAAACCATCTGTCATGAGGCCATGATAGGATATTCTTTCCAAAAGAAAAGACTTTGAAGATGTTTGATATTCATCTCTCATGAAGTCCATATCTGAAGTGAATTACAATCTTTACTTTCTCAGGACCAGACTATTTAACACAGGTCCTCCAGGGAAACTCCGACTTGATTAGAATTCTCTTAGTGTTTCCAGTAGACCAGCATTGTCTTTTATAAACTAGACAAAGACAAACCTTATACAATCTGATTGTTGTGTCAGCTTTTTGTTTTTCTTCTCCATTATGCTCAGATGAAATGATTCAAACTGAAAATTAGAAACATTAACTGCACTGAGGATAGATTCCAAAAGAAGTGGCAGGAGATATGAAAACCTCTTTCTTTTTAGGTCAAGACTTACAGTGTGTGTGAATATGCAACTTACTTTCACCTGCTTTCTTTGATGTACTGTAGCTAACTATATAATTTCATCAGACAGTCTGTCTGGGAAGATTCAATTTTATGACAAGTGAATGAAATGTGAAAATTAGGAGATTAAAGTAATGCAGTACATGCTTAGCTTATACATTAGGCGGTAGATTTTTTTTCCTTTCTTTTATGAGTGGATGTAAGGTTTTTGCTTTTTAAAATAAACACTTTTAAAGCCCCCCAGTGGAGCCTTTTAAATAATAAAAGATCACAAATTCCTCTGAATATATTTTCAGAATTGAGATATGGTATCTCTCTCTGTTGGAAAGAGTAACCCAGCCCATCTCAACTTTCACTTGCTGTCCTGAACAATGGTCCTTTGCTGTCCTATTATCTTAAATGGATCAGTGTTCTAAGACTGCTTAGATGGGATTGTGGAGCTTTCGTTTACACTTAGGACACTATTCTTCATTCACAGTTCCTTTCCCAGTATTCAGCATTGGTTTTCTCTGAAGGTCAATTTAAGGACATCTTAAAAGCCTTGCCTTCCTTTTTATTTTTATTTTCTTACTTCATAATATGCTGAAGTAGTTCAAGAGCACTGCAACACATGTCAGATGAAGTTTTGTCTTCAAAAGCTCAGAATTTAAGGGCTTAACCCAGTTTGCATGCGACTAGTCAGTCATACTTTGATTTCAAAGAATGAGTACAGTTATTCAAGTGGGTAGGCGTTAGCAGAATTGGTCCATGCAGAACAATAAGTGAGTTCATGAAAGGAAGGATTGTTTTTTTTGGTAAGACTTGAGTGTGCTTCGCCTTGATTTATATTGCACAAAGAGTGGCTGACAGCCCAGCTGCTGTTATGTTGTGTGGTATGGAAGCAGGTGGTACTGTAGGTAATGAGGGGAAGGTAATAATGCCCTCTTAGACCATTTGTCATGCTAAATCAGCATCTGAAATCTTCCTAGGTAGACCTACGAAGGGGAGTGGGGATAGGTATGAGCTCCTCTCTCCACTCTGAGCTGGTGCAAGATGAAGCAGCTCAGCTCGCTGCCATGTGAGGCAATGCACCCAAGTAAAAGTGTGCTGGCTCAGTAACCCGGTAGGCAGGAATTTAACAGTGAGTTTTACTGTTATTGTTCTTCATTATTATTCCCATTAGTACTAGAAAAGATTTGAAGGAGAGAAGGTGAACAGGGAACAAACGACCTGGGTGGCACTTCACAAGCAGTTATGGAGTGTGGCTCACAGCATTTATCTAACTTCAGATTTAATTGTTCGGTTAATTGCTTAATTATAATATAATCTATTTAATGTCCTACTTGAACAGCAGTGCTGTCTGGAATGAGCATGAAAGGCAAGAAAATCAACAGTACAATTTGAATATATTCACAGGAAAAAACGTGCTCTGGAAGAGGTGTTCCCCTTTGGACGTAGCAGTACCAGTGGTCATGAACTTTTCCTTCTTCAGATCTCCATCTGTAAACCTGAAACCTTTCCTCTGCCTATAAAATCCTGCAGTCACAAAGATGTTCGGCAGCCCATGCTAATACTAATAATATTCAGCAACTGCTGTCAGTTCTCTTTACCTCCTTCCATTCCCACCTTCTGCTTGCTCAGTCTACTTTGGCTGCCCTGCCTTTTGTAGTGTAAGGTCTTTGGGGCAGGAAATTGCCTTTTTGTTGTGATTAATAGGTGTTAAACACAGAAGGGCTCTGATCCACCACAGATCATAATGTAGCTAATACAGATGAGCCCAAGATATATTCTGTGTTTGTTAGAATTAAATATATTTTTCTCCAAATTGCAGAAGGAACCTTTGAAAAATAGAGTAGGCTGTGTTATCTTTTATCCATCAAACATTAGAATATATCTATGTTGCTGAAAGATTATACTTGCTGGAGGCTTAGAAAAGGCATTATATATTTATGACATGATTTAACTGTACCTAGCTTTACTTTGTTTCACTAGGTCCTAATTTAGACCACTGAAAAGGCTGCTTTATGCAGACCTCCATCTGAGCCAGTTCTTGAACTGATTTGAGAGACAGAAGAATGACCAAAACCCAATATGGTATAATTATGTTTCTTTAAAGTGATAAAAGGGTTGAGAATGCTTTGCATGAATTGTAGCCCAGACAGCTGATACCTGGGGCAATGGGAATAAATATAAGCTTGAAAGATGCAGTTATCAGGGATGAAATAAAGGCATCGCTGTTTATGGATTATTCAGTTATAATAATAACATTGTAGCCACACAATACAAGTGAAGAAAAAAAAAAGATTGAAGACTCCTGACACACCTAAGGCATAATCCACTAGAGGGAGACAAATTGAAGAAACCATTGCACTGAAATCACAGAAAAAAATGAGGTGTAAGAAATAGGAAAATGTGTACAATTAAACACAATAATCCCTATTTTTTTAATGAGTAATTTACTCAGCATTCCTACTTCTCTTACATCCTTGTCACTATCAGGAAATCTAGATTTTAATTTTGATTTCTCACTAATTGTGTTAGCTCAGGCAAAATGTTGCCATTAAAAATACAGATGTCATATTTCACAAACCCTGTTTCTTGGTACTGGAAAGATTTCTCATTATTAACAAGTCCATGTGAAAGAGCCATCATTTAGATTCCTACCGTTTCTTGACAGAAGGAATGCGTAATGCAACATGTTTAATGATAGCAGTATTTTCGATTGCTTTTATAGCTCCAGGAGGTTGTAAAACATTATTTATCAGTCTTTTAATTCAACAGGATTGACCAACATACAAAGTCTTCCTGACAAATAGGCAAAATAAAGGATTTTAGTACAAGACTGACCAACACAGAAAATTGTGGTGGATTGACCCTGGCCAGCAGCCAGTATCCACACAGATTTCTGCACATTCCCTGTCTCCCATGAGAGGTGGGTAAGTGAGCACCTGTGTGGGGGTTTGGCTGTTGGCTGGGGTCAACCCACCACTGTCCTTCTAAACCCAGTTCAGAAGTCTTCCTCATCTCAGCAAAGTTCTTGATTTGGTGACAGTTTATATCCTGTGTTGTCTTGAATTGCTCTAACCTGAACAAATATAAATTAGTCATCTAAGTTTGAGCAGTCAACAGAAGGTCCACCTTATAGTCAGAGAAAAGAAATAGTCACGTTAAAAGGGTAATTTATCTTGACCTAAGGCAGGTACCTGTGTTCAGACTAATTGTTCTCTTGACACATCTGTTTCTTTCTAATGAGAGCATTAACTCACTAGCTCAGGTCTGAATAGGTTACTTCAGACACCCAAAGGCAGGTGAGACAAAGCCAACCAACTACACATCTGTCTGATTTGAATTTGTCCTTCTTGTATGCCTTTTGTCAGTAGTGTTGAAATATCCTGTATTCTGTGTTGGTTGTGTCCCCCTTTATCCCAGAATTAAAGATTATCTCCTACTTTGCTTTTATATTCTCAGCAATTTTTCTGTGTTCTGACGCTATTTTTAATAATATGGGCCCCTTTCTTCAGTAACAGCTACTAATTATATTAGTTGTAACCTGCTGTACTGATTAAGCTGTAGGCTGAACAGGCCTAGCAATACAGAAAAAGCACTAAAATTTCATCTGTGTCATTTCTCAAGTTTACTTCCCTGTTTCACAGCTAATCACCATATGTGGCTCAAAGTATTTGCACTCCTTTACTGATCAAAAGGATATTTTTTGTTGAGAAAGAGAGAAAGCTTGTCAGGACAAGATACAGATACTGTCCCACTTCTGCCCAAGGAAATCTAATAAAATGATGTCGCATTGGTTGTAATTCTTTTAAAGCATTTATTTTCATCGCTTTTTCTGGCACAACTGGAAGCCCTCAAATTTTGAAGAATTGGAACCATGCTCAGGAGGAGTTTGGCAAAACCCCTGCCCTCTTATGTTTTATACCCTTCCTTCTCACCTTTCTTCCTTCTCTTTTTACTCATTCCCTCTTTTGTCCCATCCCCCCTTCCTCCTTCATTCCTTCTCTCCTTCATTCTTGCTTTCCTCTTTGCCTTCTCTCCCAAGCCTTTTAATCTGCCAGCTCTTTTTTAAAAGATGTTTCCCACATAACCACACTTCTCATTCTTCTACTTTTCTCTATACTGATCTTGTTTCTCCTCCTGCACTGTATTATCTTACTACTCATGCATTGCACATTAGAAAACCCACATCGTAATCTAGTCAATAGAAGTTAGATTTAAAATTTTGTTTGAGGGCATGTCTCAGTCCCAGTTTACTGAAGTCAACAGCCGATCTTTCCCTGCCTAAGCCAACCATGCTATCCTAACTCACTTTTGAGACTCACATTAGAGAATTGCAGTAGGTTCTGAAACTTTTAACCTGCAAGGCAGGAAGTTATTGGAAAACAAGCTCTTGTTTTGCAGTCCCTCGTGTATAACACCCACTTGGATGAAGTTGCCATCTGTTGTTTTCTTGGATCATGTCAGAATATGTGAAATAAACTGGAAGAGAGAGAGGCAAAACGACAGACAGATGCAAGTGGGAAAAATGTTTGGAAATTTACTGTTGAGGTTCTACAAAGCAAGAGAAGGACATGAAATGTTATATGTTAGATGTGGAAAAGACCTGCTGGGGCAATAAAGGTGATTGCACCTATCACCAAAAAGTGGCTGGAGCATAAAGAAAGATCTTTGGCTGCCATAGATCCATCATTGTTGTTCCTTATTTCTTTTTCTCATAGTTTTCTAGGCAGAAATGGGCAGAATTCTGGCAGTGGGAAGTGGGACCAGAATCATCCTTCAGACTGTGGCAAGAAGGACAGAGTAGAAGAGCAGTCACAGTAAATAACTCGTGGACTTAATCATGGGAACTAAAACTGTGATATTCCCATTAACCTCTTCTCTTCAGCAAGGCATCGGTAATGATGAATCCAGCCTCTATCTTATAACCTGTCTCCAGTTACAAGACAGGTAAAAAGACCAAAAGTTGAGGTATAGGGTTATAATCAGAAATTTCATCTGGTTAGTGATACCACATATATTTTCACTTAAATTTAAATTTTATATAAAGTGTTTTAGGATTCAAAACCAAAACATCAGTTCTTTTGGTGAAAATGAAATAGTTTTGTTTATCCCTGTTAAAAAAGAAGCATAGTTTTCTCTGTTTTCCTTCCTTCAGCTATCAATGAATACATACCTGTAATATATAAAGATACATATGTGCAATATTGCACAAGACCCCAAAATTGGTGTATCGTACAGAAAGTATATTTCCTGAAAATATTTTCAGAAATGTTTTAATAGCAAATGCTTCATCAAGCTGTTATATCATGCTATACACAGGAAGAGGAAAACTAACACAGAGTTAGTTCATCTGCTAGCTTCTGAATTTAAGCAAACACTTAATATACAAGTAATATTTATTGCTGTTAGAAGATGCTAAGCATGTCTGTAAGTAGTATTTAAATCTGGTTCTCTTAAGCTGAAAACGTTTTACTGACTCAATGATACAAGCATTTCCTGAAAAATGACTTATTTCCTGTATTTTGTTAATATTTGACAGCACTGATCTTAAACCAGTAGCAACATGACACTGATTTGTAAGACAGATTTTAAAGTAAGGTTGAAATTCTGTATTATTGTATCCCACATAAACTCATTTAATGAGCAACAATTCCATAATAAATTTCATTTAAAACCAAAAATAGACCCAGTTGTCTTTATTTCAGTCATAGAATTAAGCAGAGTTAAAGAGGAAAGATCATTCTTCACATGAGCTCTCAACTGACAATGCTTTGTGTCTATGCACTGAAGTTTCCTTAGCTTCAGAGCAGGCCATCAGCAGAAGTCGACTCCATGTTTTGGGTGCCTCAAGAGAGTAAGTTTTGCCCTCAGTGCTTAATTAAAAAAAAAAAAAAACACAAAAAACCCAACCAAAAAACAACCCAAGGAAAACTTCCTAACTAATCTTCACAGAAGGGACAAAGCTCACTTTGGGATATTGCAAGCTTTTTCAAGTTAATACCAGCATTTGCAATTGCATTCTGGTTTCAGCAGGGAGACAGTGGGAAGTTTGCGCTCAAAGAACTCTGACATATACTTGGTGTCACTCAGCAGGAACATCTCGTCTTTGAACTGGCACTACATGAAGTCAAGTTTGTGCATAAACCTTCACAGAATAATCCCTAGTCTGAGGTCAGGTGTCTGACCATGTCTGAGAGCACACCCACTAAAATAATTGGATTAATAAGAGTGGAAAGAATCACATAAACAGTATTTTCAGCTCCACCTTCAAGCTCCACCTTTTTGTCACAGTTTTCCTTCTTGCTCAGGACACAAGGAGATCCTTTTGCATTAACTGTAGTCAAAATACAAATATCAGAAAAGAGCCCCTCAATCCTTCTACCTCCCACAGAAAACTAAGAGCATATAGCAGGAGCCTAGATTGATCAAGAGATTTTAAAAAATAGGCATTGCAATAAAATAAAACAGTGGGCTCAATCTTCTTAGCTTGCCTAAGCAGAAGTTTGATTTAGATTGACCACAATTTCTAATTCCTGCTACATGGAACAGTGGGTTCGTTACAGAGGAGTCCTTCTTCCAACAGCAAAAGGTGCAAGAAATTCCAGTGATTTAAGGCTAATTTAGACAGTGGCTAATTTAGACTAATTTAATAAGTAATTAAGGCTAATTTAGACAGTGGAACAATTTATCCAGATTGTTTTGTAAGCTTTGTAACATTTTAATCCTTTTTTTTGTGACTCTTTACTGGACACTGGAGGCTAGCCACTGTATTACAGTGACAGTTGCACCAGTGTCAGAGATAATAAGAGTTTCCTATTCTACAGTAAAGATTGTGTCCACCTGTACTAAGAGGATCAGGCTGAGAGCATATGTTCATCCTCTAGCTTCCATGACCTCAGACACTTTGCTTTAGTCTTTGAAGTATTGTTTTGTACACAGCTGCTCTAAAACTTTCATAATTAGCTTGTCAAATGACTGAGAAGGCTCCGTCATCTTTATTCTGCATTATTTTCCATTCCTGCAAACCTTGTATCATCAGGAAACAGTTTTAATATAGTATGCTTCTTTGCTTTGGAATTACTGATGATAATATTACACTACAGAATAAGAGCCAATCCCTTTAGGACCTAATAAAACAACCCTTTAATGATAATAAGGCTCCTTTCAATTAGTGTTTTTTTAAACCACTAATTATTTTCTTAAATTTTGAGTGTTCTAAATGTGGACTGGCGACAAAATAGAATAAGAAATCAAAATAGAATTGCATCTCTAATGATGTAATTTTGATAATATTGAAGTTAAATATATAATGTATGTGTATCTGGTCTCTCTGAATCATGTAGTCATTATTTTAAGGTGCAAAAATCCCAGGTTTTAGTCCAGTGCTATAAAGTAGTTTTTGCAAAAATATTATGTATTTTCACAATATTAAGGTCTGCCCCAGATAAGCAACCTAGACCTTCTCAAATTCAGGGTTTCCCTACTGCCAGAAGAGAATGATATCTGCATGTTTTATTTTGTACATTTACAAAATATTCCCTTTATTCTTCATCCTCTATGTAACTAGTATCTGGCTTTTTCAGTAAGACTTGATGGGTGAGGGCTCTGAAATTCTCTCGGCACCTCTTCTTTAAATGCCACCTAACTTTATCCTGTCATGTTGTAAGAATTGGGTCCTTTTTCCTGTACTTATGAACAACTAAAACTACTTGCCTACGTATGATCCTAGGTATTATTCTTTCTCTTTTCAAATTAGCTCCCTCCTTCCCGTTTCCTTTTCTTAACCTCTTCCCTGCATTGCATTTACAGCTGAGGCGAAGTCATTGATCAGTTGCCCCAGTACCCAGAGCCCATATTGCTATACTGGCCATGGAATCTTTTTGCCTAGTACTTTCGCAGGTAGATCATAACATAGTCAATCCTTCTAATAATCTAATTTAAACCTCAGAATTCAGTTCCATATTACTAATGGGTTTGCTTTAAATCCTTGTTGCAAAGATTTGCAAACTCTTTTTTTTTTTTTTTTGGTTAATACACCATAAAATAGACCTCTCTTTGTATAAATTCCCATAAAATAAAAACTTGGAAATCACATTTTGTAAGTATATTTATATATATGTACATACATTTTAGTAAAGATTAGTCAGTCCTATTCTGAGCTGCTTCTAATATTTTGAAATCTGGGTTTTTTGCAGCAAAGTAACAAGTGCAATCACTTTTATGTAGACACCATACCAATGACAGAGGTAGTTTTAAGAAGTCTGGTGATAGACGAGTAGCAATGCACGATAGTGACAAATTATACCACCTACATCATACCACTCGACACATGAAAGGTCTTTTTGTAACATCCAGGTGAATAATAGATTGCAGTCTCTTCCCTTCTTCTCTCTGGTGAGATCCACAGTTTATTGTTGGGCATATGTCAGATTTAGCCAAAAATGTGAACAAAGAAACAAAACTTCAGTCACGCAGCACAAATGTATCTAGATTGCTTTTATTCTTCTGAATGAGAAAAGCACTTTTCTCTCTTAAAAACATTCTCTCTACCAAAGGGTTTTCATTCTACTTCTATGCCAAACAACCTGATATAAAACATATTATGCATTCAGCAAGTCAAAGTCTTTTTCTAAAAAAGAAATGATATCAACCACATGAACTGATGAAAAGCAACCATAGTATTTGTGGGAGCAATAACAAAGACCGCTAATTCTGTTTAGTTTTAGTCTTTAGTAAGATGGGACAATCTTTACTGACAGCTGGTTGGCTTGCATTTCTCTCAAAATTGGAACAAAATTCAAGCTTCTCTAAAAAAAGGAGAAAATATGCTTTGGGTCAAAAGAAATATGTAGACAGGGAAGAAAAATAATAAGTTAAGACTTGTTCAAGAGGTTTGTTCAGGCTTTTTCCAAACAAGATGTTAATTAACAACTCACAGGGGTTATCTTCTAAAGGGAAAACTTGCTTAGGCAAAGCAACAGATGGTACAATATAGTTTATGTGGAATTTTGCTTCTAGGTGAGCTAGGTGATAGCATAGTACTGTGTTGCATTAAGGAATGTTTTATTGTGTAGCATGAAAATGATGAGTTTTGACAAGTTAACATATTGCCATTGAAGAAAGGGGTTATATTAATTTAATGGAAGGAGATATATATTATTCTCCACATGCCCCTCAGTCTACAGAGGCACTACCAAGAACACTGAGAGAGGGTTTTACAAAAAGAAATTAAAATAGACTGCACTTCTTGAAATTAGTTGCTATCTTTATTATTTGTCAAATATGTTAACATCACATTTGACAACCTATAATGGCAAGGGACATATCTTAAGACTATTGCTATTTGTGCTCCCCTTTCCTCCTGAACCTGGGAGAGACTGCAATATGCATACGTAAATTAATGGCTTAAATTCAAGGATCTGAATGTGTCATGCAGGCCATTTAATTATGTCACACTGGCCAATGAACATGGCTTGGGAGGGATGAAAATGCATTCTGCATGTGTGAAAGGCAGCAGATGGATTCATTGACTTCAGGTGCAGTTGGGACACAAAGTGATATTTATTCCTTAAGGACCAACCAGAAGCAACAGAATTCACTAGTCTGTGTATCTATGCACTAACGCAACAGATTGTGACTGAAAGGTTCGACCTCCTTATGTACTTCTGTTTAAGTTAAATCTGTTATTATTGTGTTCAATGTTTATGTTTCTACCCTGCTAATCCGACTTTTTGCAATTTTTTTGATTACTTTTTATGAAACAACCTGAATTTGGATTCTGTTCTATATTAAAGGTTACTGACTTCCAATTCTCCTTCACCTCAATGAACTTTTTATTCCTTCAGGAAGAAAATCTAAGGTTGTATTCAAGTCATGGACATGATGTACAGCAAAACCTAACAGATGGATGCTAGGCATAGGCAAAGGAAGAACACAACAGGACTGCATTGACCATTATCCATCAGAAAGTTGTCTGGCGTGATGCCTCTGCTGCCTTTCGTGTCTCTCCAATTTTCTTCTGTCTTGAACAAATAAAAATTGGTATAATAACTTTGCTTGTTTTTCCTGTAGTTTCTGGACTTACACACCTTTACAGTATTTTTGTAAACTATTTTTCTAGCTTGCTTCAAATGGAGATACTTTTTAACTTCCATTCTATCACTGCAGCTCTTTTCCACCCTTTTTTCAAAATAATTCTCTCATTTGTACTAAAATTTTCAATGAGATATTTCCTTGACCTTGCAGAATAACCATGATCTAACAGAAGGAAACAAATGGAACACTTCACCCTTAGGACTGAGCATAAACTACATTGCATTTTATGGATGCCTAAAATTCACCATGCAATACTGCAATCCATGCATGCAGAACTAATTTAAGCTTCATTACCTTCCATGGAGCTGCAAAAATGATACATTTGGTCTGATGATTGTAAGTGTGAAAGAGTGTATTTTCCTTATATTCTCTTATTTCTCTCTTTTTGTATCCACTTGCTTGAGGTGGAAAGGAATCGGTATGGTTGAGCGAATTAGAAAGCTGTATGTGAAGAAGAAACCTATATACTCTTTTCACTTCTTTGCTGATGGGAAGTCTACACAGAGGCACGTAGAGCATGACACCAAGCGTAACATATGTATGGACAGCATGGTAACTGTTGGATGCATACGGTCCTCTGTTCAGCTCCCATC